GGAGAGAGAGAGTAGAAGAGAGAGAGAGAGAGAGAGAGAGAGAGAGAGAGAGAGAGAGAGAGAGAGAGAGAGAGAGAGAGAGAGAGAGAGAGAGAGGGAGGGAGGAGAGAAGAGAGAAAGAGAGAGAAGAGAGAGAGAGGAGAGAGAGAGAGAGAGAGAGAGAAGAGAGAGAGAGAGAAAGAGAGAAGAGAGAGGGAGAGAGAGAGAGAGAGAGAGAGAAAGGGGAGGAGGAGGGAGAAAGAGAGAGAGAGGGAGAGAGAGAGAGAGATAGATAGAGAGAGAGAGAGAGAAGAGAGAAGAGAAAGGAGGGGAGGGAGGAAAAAGAGAGAGAGTGAAAGAAGAGAGAGAGAGAGAGAGAGAGAGAGGAGAGAGAGAGAGAGAGAGAGAGAGAGAGAGAGAGAGAGAGAGAGAAGAGAGAGGAGAGAGAAAAGAGGGAAGAGGAAAAGAGAGAGAGAGAGAAGAGAGAGAGAGAGAGAGAGAGAGAGAGAGAGAGAGAGAGAGAGGAGAGAGAGAGAGAGAAGAGAGAGAGAGAGAGAGAGAGGAGAAAGACAGAGAGAGAAGAGAAAGGGGGAGAAAGGGAGAAGAGAGAGAGAGGGAAGAGAAGAGACAGATGAGAGAAGAGGAGAGAGAGAGAGAGAGAGAGAGAGAGAGAGAGAGAGAGAGAGAGAGAGAGAGAGAGAGGAGAAGAGAAGAGAGAGAGAGAGAGAGAGAGAGAAGAAGGAGAAAGAAAGAGAAAAGGGGGAAAGGGAGGGAGAAAGAGAGGAAAGAGAAAAGAGAGAGAGAGAGAGAGAGAGAGAGAGAGAGAGAGAGGAGAGAGAGAGAGGAGAGAGAGAGAGAGAGAGGAGAGAGAGAGAGAGAGAGAAGAGAGAGAGAAAGAGAGGAAGAGAGGAAGAGAGAGAGTGGGGAGAGAGGGAGGGAGAGAGGGAGAGAAGAGAGAGAGAGAGAGAGAGAGAGAGAGAGAGAGAGAGAGAGAGAGAGAGAGAGAAGGAGAGAGAGAGAGAGAGGAGAGAGAGAGAAAGAAAGAGAGAGAAAAAAATAGAATTTCGTAGTGTAGAGAATAATAAAGAGAAAAAATAGAAATTCGTAGTGTAAAACTACAAACATATTGGGAGGTGTGTATGTTGATACTTACATGAATGGATATATGTGCAAATCTTTGTTCTTTGGCCTGTTACCACATGCACTTTAGCTTAACCGCGCCATTAACATTCAATGTCAAGCCTGAACTCAGATCAGCGTGCGAAAATAAGTATTCCAATTCAGTAAGTATCAATGCACCTTAGTTAACGTGTACTCACATTTCCATTTCCATGCATACATTTGACTCCAACGAGTGTACTGGATTAGAAGTCGGAATGTGGAAGGGGAAACTTTATTCAAATGTGTCTCACCAAACCCGGATACGCGTATCTTACCCTCCCAGCTACATTCCCCTACTTTCTTTAATCCGCCTAGATTGTCTCTCTCGTCTCTCTCTCTTCTCTCTGTCTCGTCATTCGTCTACTACGCTTCTTTCCTCATCCTCTTTCCTCCATCTTCTCTCCTCTTCTCTTCTCCTCTCCTCTCCCATCCTCTCTCTCCTCTCTCTCCTGGTCTGTCCTCCATCTATGTTCCTGCGTCTCTCCTCGCCCCTTCTCTCCTCCTTTTTCTCTCTTCTCCTCTTTCTCTTTNGGAAAGAGTAAGGGAGAGAGAGAGTGAGTGGGAGAGGGAGAGAGAGAGTGAGGGAGAGGGAGAGAGAGAGTGAGTGAGAAGAGGGCAGAGAGAGAGGGAGAGGGGGAAAGAGTGAGAGTGAGAGGGAGGGAGAGAGAGAGTGAGTGGGAGAGGGAGAGGGAAAGAGTGAGTGGGAGAGGGAAAGAGTGAGTGGGAAAGGGAGAGAGAGAGTGAGTGGGAGAGGGAGAGAGAGAGTGAGTAGGAAAGGGAGAGAGAGTGAGTGGGAGAGGGTGAGAGAGAGTGAGTGGGAGAGGGTGAGAGAGAGTGAGTGGGAGAGGGAGAGAGTGAGTGAGTGGGAGAGAGAGAGAGAGAGAGAGTGAATGGGAAAGGGAGAGAGAGAGAGTGAGTGGGAGAGAGAGAGAGTGAATGGGAGAGGGAGAGAGAGAGTGAGGGAGAGTGTGAGTGAGGGAGAGGGAGAGAGTGAGAAGAGGACAGAGGGAGAGGGAGATAGAGAGTGAGTGAGTGGGAGAGGAAGAGAGTGTGTGAGTGAGTGAGAGAGTGTGATTGACTGAGAGAGGGAGAGAGAAAGAGAAACAGAGATTGCATTTCCCACAACGGGACCATTTTTTAGTGGGGGATGGGGAGGGGGGGGGAGGTATTTGCAGATTAGACTGGGATAAGAGGATAAACTATAGATGTTTCTGTTGATAGCATAGTAATTATGTATTCCTTATTATTTCTATTATTGCGATTGTTTTCTTGCTGTTGCTAGTTTTATTATTAGTAGTGTTATTATTATTTTCATCATTATGATTATCATCATTCTTTATGCTATCGTCATTTTCACCAT